AGAGAGCTGTGGGATTCAGAATCACGCTGCTGGTAGGTGGCAGAGCTGGTATTTGAACCCAGGACCCCTGAGTCAGGACAGGCAGGCGGAACAGTTGGCCGGGGAGGGGAAGGTGCTGCCGGGATTGCCCTGTGACCTCACGACCCACTTCTGCTTTCTGCCCAATGTGCTCAGCACACAGGAAGCCTGGCGGGGCCTCCCTTGACCGTCCTGTCTGTAGCCGGGTGGACATGGGGTCCAGGCCCCACTTCCTGTGTTGTGCAAGATGTGGCATCCCCTTTGTGGGCAGGCAGTGGCCCCAGGGGATGGGTACAGTCAATGCCTGCAGTTATCTCACAGGCCTGGCCTTGTCCCCTGACACCTCCACACCCCTTTTACCCCTCTATCGCCCTGAGGCTTCGGCAACCTTGAGCAAGAGGCTGGGGTCTTTCCCGCCACAGTCTGTCCCAAATGAAGTCTAAGGCTAGGCAGCCATAAGGGAGCCCTAACCACCAGCAGCCTAATCGATGGCTGTGAGTGAAGGGCTCCTGCGTTCCAGGCCAAACCTCACCACAAACCCTAGTGTCTCATCTCTGCAAATGCCGTGTGAAGCATCATTCAACACGACCCCTTTCTCAGATGAGGAAACTGAGGCCCCAGAGGTGCAGCAATCTGCCCAAGGGTGGACCAATCGTGGCTGTGCTGTGCCCCCTGAAGGCTACTGTACTCCTGGGCGAATGCCGTCCTGGACATCAGGAATGTCAGGGGGAAGACACAGTGCTTTCTGGGGCCATCATGGGGCATACAGTGTCCTCTTCAGGCCTCAGTTTCCCCATCTGCTCTGTTTCCAGCTGGAGTTTGTGTTTCTGGGTCAGAAGGTCCAAAGCAGTGCCAGAGCAGTGTGGAGAAGAGAGACAGAGGCCACTCTGGAAGCCAAGGAGCCAGGGATGGCGGGGTGCCCATTGGGCAGTGTTTGCCACTGTCCCAAACACTTCTGCCTGAGGGCTTGGGCTGCGAGTGAGGGGCCCCTACTGATAAAGGGGGGGGGTACTGGGCGATGACCCTACTTCCTCATCTGAGACCTGTTCCAAGAGGTGTCTGGGGACAGGGACAGGCTGCCACAGGGCGGGGGGTCTGCTCAACCCTCCTGGGTGTCCCCACCTTCCTGCTGACACTGTCATCAGCCAGCGGTCGGGGTCAGCTGAGGAGCAGATTGGAGCCAGAGTGGAGGCTTCACAGCATCCCCGTCAGACTGAAGTCGAAGCCTGTGTGGCCACCTTGCTTGTGACCTTGGGAGCCAGCAGGTAACCAGAGAGGGAGGGACATGGAAGGTGCTGGCCTATGAGGGGTGAGGAAGTGAAGGCTTCTGGGAGTGAGAAGTGGACAGGGCCAGTGACAGGTAGCAGGACAGGAGACAGCATGGCGGAGGTCAAGAGAAACCGGCTTGAAGACACAGGACTGTGTTCATCCCCTCCTGGCCC